GAACCAACCACCTGCTCCATCTCATGAAGACAACATCCAAAAAAATTTACTTTTTATATTTACTAATTACAAAAATTTGTAATATCTATAAATTGCCAATTAAAATTATTATAATAGTAATCCAATGCAGAAAAAAATGTTAACACTTAAGAGCCTTAATAATAAAGAGAATTTGCAAATTATATTTCAAATGATCTACGTATTTTTGTTGCAGAGATGTATGGTGGGGTGATTAATAAAAGACTTAAGTGAAAAATATATACTATGTTAATTTAAAACTCTGAAGGGGAAGAGGAATGGAAATACAACGTCAAGGAGAAAAAGAAACAGCGTAAATTTGCAACTGTTAAAAAATAGTTTATTCATGTATGGTAGTTTTGTTTATTTTTTTTAAGGTTTTATTTATTTATTTGACAGACAGAGCACAAGTAGGCAGAGTGGTAGGCAGATGGAGAGGGAGAAACAGGCTCTCCGCTGAGCAGGAAGCCGGATGTTGGGCTCGATCCCAAGACCCCAGGATCATGACCTGAGCCAAAGGCAGCTGCTTAACGGACCCACCCAGGCGCCCCAATGTATGGTAGTTTTAAAGATGAATAATGGTGAGTATAGACTCACTATGGTTTTTATATTCCATTAAATACATTAAAAGAAGAGATGGGACATCTTTATTATAAAATGTCAGTAGTTTATAGGAAGCCAGAAATCACATCATTTGTAGCTCTTTATAAGTATGATTAAAATGTTTAGATACATAGACTTTAAAATTATTTTAGGGGTATGCCATGTTTCTCTCATCTGGATGTCTGCATTTTAATACATAAATCTATTGAAATCTGAGAAAGCAAAGGTGAAGTAAGGAAAATCTGCTATACATTATGCCCCATCTCTAAATTTCTAGGTTGAAACCTAACCCCCGATGTGATGGTATTTGGGAAGGGGGGCCTTTGGGAGGTGACCAGGTCATGAGGGGGGAGCCCTTATGAATGGGATTAGCGCCTTTAGAGAAGAGACCCCAGAGAGCTCCCTCACCCCTTCCACCTCATCTCCTCCACTGTGTCCCTGAGGTGGCTGTCTGTCTGTGAGTCAGGAAGCAGATCTTTATCAGACACCAAATCTGCTGGCCCCTTGATCTTAAACTTCCAGCCTCCAGACTGTGAGAAATAAATATCTGTTGTTCAAGCCACTCATTCTGTAAGATTTTTTACAGGAGCCTGAGCGGACCAAGACAGTAACTATGAAATAGAAAGTCAAAGAAGTTCATACGGTGTGTGTAGGGGCATGCCCCAGATTCTTGCCCTGGCTCTATCTCCAAGTCACCGTGTGACCTTGAACAAACCCTTCCTTTCTCTGACCCTTGGTTCACCCACAAAACGGAAGCTCTATAAAGCTCTTTGTAGATTTATAATACTTTATCACCCAATTTTCTGGAAAGCAGACCCAACTCAGAGAGGTAAAATAAACCCTCAACAGATTTAGTCTGAATTCAACTCCTCTGAAATAACTCTCCCCGGGCCTAGGTCCTGTGAAAGAGATCTGGTGTCCTTCCTCCTGCATGCCCTGGTACCATCTTGGGGTCTAGTTATCAAGAGGAAGGAGCCTAGAGTACATGTGACATCCTCCAAGTCTTCCCAGGCTGTACATTTGTCTCAAGACCAACTCAAGAATGAAAGGGAGAGAAAGAGCAGAGAGAACAGACATCTCTTCTGAGTCCAACTTCCAACCCAAAGCAACAAATGCGGCTGATTTATTTGTCTCCTCACAGTTAAAAAAAGAAGAAGAAGAAAAAAAAAGCTAGCTGCTGGATTTTGGAGGCATTATGGTGGGGTGGGAGAGTGATGTCCCCAAACCAGCCAAGATAATGGCTGTGTCATGGAGGTCAACCCCCTTGACTCCGGACTCTTCAATTCAATGCATGAACTCTTTGGAAGTATTCTTCTAGATGTTTACTGAACTTACAGACATGTGGCAGCCTCTGCGCTGAGCTCTTTGCACACTTCTCTTCAGCAAACCTTGAGATAGGTATTATGACTCCATTTCATAGGTGACAAAACATTTGCTCAGAGAGGTTCGGTAAGATGCCTGAGGACATCAGCTCGCGTGACAGGCAGTATTGAGGCCACATCTGCTGGTTTCTGAAACCTGAGCTCACGAGCAGTTCCACGATTGGGGTGCCTGGGTGACTCAGTCAGTTAAGCATCTGCCTTTGGCTCAGGTCATGATCTCAGGGTCCTGGGATTGAGTCCCGCAACGGGCTCCCTGCTCAGCGGGGAGCCTGCTTCCCTCTCCCTCTCTGCCCCTCTCAGATAAATAAATAAAATCTTAAAAAAAAAAAAAAAGCAGTTCCATGATTGTCCAGTTGGGGGATGCATGGACACTCCCTGAGCCCCATCTCTTTGGCACATAGGGAAGACCACCACACACTCCAGTGTCAAAGGCTTGTTCTTACCCGTGAATGAGACAGTAACACATAGAAAGGAGCTCTTGTCTCACGTCCGCCTTTGGAGTAGGAATTTTCTCCTGTGGATTTCCAGGTAAGGAAACTGAGGCTCAGGGCACAGAATTAATTCGCATATACACAGCACATGGCATAACCTGACCTCGAATCCTGCACAGCTGTTATGATACATGGCTTCTGTACCCAGTTTAAGGGAGCAGATGTTGGGAATGTTCATCATCAGCATCTCTGCACCATTCAGAGCGACAGATGCACGTTTCTGACTCTTCTTCTAAGAAGCCTCCAGATGGATCCAGCTGAGTGTGACATGCCAAGTGCGCTCCTGGATATGTCTTCCAGAGCACCCTTTAAACAACACTTTAAAGCAGCAATTTCCACGCTGTGCTCCGCTGAACACCAAGGTTTTTACAAAATGTTAAAAGAGACTCCAAAAGGAACAACAAAAGGAAATTTGGGGGAGGCCAACTAAATTTGGGACTGTCGTTTAACTAGATATAGCTTCTGGCTTTGAGGTATGTCATTCATTACATCTGGCATCCGGTAAATGACATTGGTCCACGGCTACCTGTGTGACCTTGGGGTGAGATCACCAGAAGCACTGGAGTAGAAGAAGAGAAAGAAATGAAGAAAGGATCACAAGCAAGCAGCAATATTCTAGGCGAGAGCAGAGTAAAAGACCAGTCAAAAGTTTAAGAACGCAGTGGAGATCCGATGGAAGAAATACCAAGAGAGGGCGGAGAATTAGAAGCCAAAGAAGGAGAGTTTCAGGAAATACGCATCAGAGGGTTATCTGCCCCTGAAGGATGGAGAGTCAGACCTGCGTGAGAAGCCACTGACCAGTGGCTTCCCAGACCGTGGCTGAGATACAACCTCATGAGCCCTTCCTCTGCCTTCTCCTGTTCCTCTTCCTCTCCTCTTCTTCCCTTCCTGAACACTTCCATGCTAAAGCCATTGGATGGAGCTGAGCAAGGTGCTGGTGGGGTGATGGACGAGCCAGTGTGCCAGGTGATGGCATAGAAGCCAGAGAAGGAGGAGGAAACTTCCATGTGCCTGGGACGTGGTGGGGATGGTGAGGGACGCCCAGAGCAGGGAGTCAGAGCCTGAACCTGGGGCAGCAGCATGGCCTGGGGGGCTGGAGCCTGTGACATTGGGGAGATCCTGCGTGTGGTGGATGGCATGGGTGGGAGGCTAGTTACACACACGGCAGAGATGAAAGCAAGAAATACACTACCAGAGAGGGAGTCAGATTTCTCACTTTTCGAGAAGGGAGTTAGAAATATGGAAAGGAAGGAAACAAGAATGAACTTTTTTGTCTTCGACTGGAACTATACCTATTATGTGAATTCATGGTTTTCAATACCCAGCAGGTCCCGAAATGTAGGTGTAGTTTTAAGCTTTAATAACATCAGAGGATAAATACTGCAAACTCACAGAACACACCATTTGAAAGATTAATTATTTACATTTCTTTTCTGTTCAGTGTGTGAGTTTTGAACTACAAAGTCTTCATTTTCTCGGTCCTTCTGAAGACGGAAAACCCTGAACAAAAATTTTAAAACATATTCAAAATTTTCAAAATTAAATAAGCGTGATGGAGATTTAAAGAATTCCACTTTCAAGTGATTTTTTTGTGTTTATAGTATTTATGCTTCTGGCATTATTAAATCTTAAAATGCTACTAAAATCAAGGCACACTATACAAAAACGCTATTGGGTAACACCGAGCTAAGAAATGTGTATATGTATGTGCATGTGTGTTTGTGTGTGTATATATGTAAGTACGTATATTACACACGCCTGATTTTCTTTTAAGAGTTTATTTATTTATCTGAGACAGAGAGAGAGAGCATGAACGGGGGGAGGGAGAAGCAGATCCCCGCTGAGCCAGGAGCTGGATGGGGGACTTGATCCCAGGACCCTGAGATCATGACCTGAGCTGAAAGCAGACGCTTAAATGACTGAGCCACCCAGGCATCCCTCACATGTTTATAACTGTATTTTTTATCTATAGATATCCATGTTCCACATGGGAGCAATGAGCACCACTGGTGCCCCAATCTTGGTTTGTAAATACCCTTCTCCATTAAAAGGAACACTATGTATACATAAGATGCCTGAAGAAATTGGCCTTGGAAGAACACAGCTTCACCTCTGCCATATTCCTACCAAAGATGCATCACCTGAAGCGAATCACCAGGAAACATTAGACAAACCTCAATTGGAGGGACAGTCCACAAAATAACTGGCCTGAAATCTTCAAAAGTGTCACGGTCACGAAAGTCAAGAAAAAGTGAGGAAGTGTCCCAGACTGAAGGAGAGACTCAGAAGACAGGACAATAGATACATCAAGCAACTTTAAACGAAATGCATTTGCTCTAGAAGACCTCCATCGAGCACTGGGATGGAGGGTGGGCGACAGGAAAACATCCATGTTAATTTCAAGGCTTTGTGTGTTTATTGTGCTTAATGTGGAGGACTGTCCATGCTTGTAGGAAACACACACTAAAGCAATTGGGTGTGATGGGGCACCAAGTGGGCAACCTACCCTCAGATGGTTCAGGAAAACAGAAGTATTCTGCACAGCACTTCCAACTTTTCCATAAGTTCAAGACTGTTTGAAGGGTTTTCCTGTTAAAATGAAAAGGAAATATTGACTCTGAAGAGGGTCCATATCTTCATTTGCCAAATCAAGTATTGGTGGCTGTTGACGCTTATTGAGAGAATGATGATGCACACGCGTCTTTCTTTGTTACCTACAAAAACAGCTTGCGGGCAGGAGATACTAAGGACAGAATGGCTGGAGGGACAGTGGAGAAGAACTAAGCCATTGGACAATGTTGGATGAGTCAAGGGCAAGAAGGAACAGCAACTCTTCAAACTCACAGAGTTTGAAGACAACAGACTAAAGACCCTGCTCTCACTTTCCCTTTTTGCTGACATTTGTCAACATTTGCAAGACCAATGGAGGGTGGTTGGCCCCCACCCTGAGTGGCAGGCCCCTTGGGCAGCCCTGGAGAAACCACTCACCTTTCTGCCTCCTTGGTTCCCATCAGTTTTCCACATGCAAGGCCTCTGTGCACGTGGCAATGAGCAATGTGGCTTTGTTGTAAAAACCCAAAATTCCAAGTAAAAAAAAAAAATGGGGGGAGGGCTGAGTGGTTGGGCAGAAGAGGAAGACAGACTATTCTTATAGCTTTGTTATCTTTTAAATTGAAAATCATGTAAGTAGATCAATGATTCTCAATGGAGGGGGGCAGAGGCAATGTTGCCCCCCTTGGAACATTTGCCAGTGTCTGGATTCACTTGGATTGTCACGGCTGGGGAGCAGAAGTGGGGAAGAGAGGACATGGTTGTTACTAGAAGCCAGTGAGTAGGGGTCAGCTGCTAAATAGTCTACAATGCAGAGGACAGCCCTCACAACAGAAAATTATCTGGTCCAGAGTGTCAATAGCGTGATGGTTGAGAAACCCTAGAAATAAACACAAAAATAATAATAATAATAAAATCTTTGGCTGTTGCTTTGAATAAAAATAAACATACCGCAGATCATTGAGCAGATGGCTGGTGAGATTTTAACGGGCTAAGCTGTGTACAGGACATAGGGTGGAATTCTCAAGCCCAGTATGACATGGTAGAGCATTTAGTGTAGACTCAGCAGCTTATTCTAACCTAGGCCATGGTGGCTGGGAGGGAAGATGAAGTCCTTGAGCCAGAAGTAGCATGGGATTAAGGGGTCAGAGGCCAAAACTTAATTTTGGTTCTACTGATTACTACTTTCACTCCCAGCCAGGAACTTCCAGCTTTCCTCATCTGTAAAAGGTGGCTAATATCCTCACATTGTCATCCGGTGAACCCCGGACTCTTTGTGGACCCTCATGCCATACACAGGGGACACATAAAAGCAGGCCCAGAAGGCCAGCATCTGTGTTAAGCGGCAGCTCAGATCCCTTCGGATTCCCCCTGACCCATGCACTCTTGATCTTAACAACTCCCATTCCCAGAGTCCCAGCTTCAAGCACCAGCTTGAGAATCTGCTGCCGGCCCACGTGCTTGAGCAAAGTCCTATCCTCCCCACTGGCCACTGACCCATGTCTCAAACGCTTCTGTTCGGCCATGTTTTGGAGTCTCCCCCTCTCTTTCTGATCCCTGGCCCTTGCCAGATCTGTCACCAGACTGGAGTTGGTGCAGGCTTCACTACCCATCGTGCTGAGGTGTGAGAGTCGTTGTGACATGACGGAGATGGAAACAACGTGTAGACTCGAATGCGCCCCACAGACCCGGGGAAGACGTTCTCATTAAGACAACACCTTACTATCCATCACACCCTTACACCCCACCCACCACCAAAACTGTTGCCCAGCTGATGTTCAGCAAATGTGTCCTGTTGGTGAAACTCACAGGTGGGGGGTGCAGAACGGGAGGGGCGGAGACACTGAAACACGATGCCTATCCCCACAGGGCTTACACACAATGAGGAAGGAAGACAGAAGCCTCCAGAACCAGCGGAGACCCCCATCCGGAAATGGACCCACATGGGATGGGTGGACATGTCCTCTTCAGAAACTGTCTCACCGAGAATGGGGGCGGGCACAGAGTGACACAGCTAGCAGAATCCTCTCTGTGCACCGACCTGATTAGATATACCCTGTGCTACTGGATTTTCATTTCCCCTGATATACACATTCAGAAATCATCCAGAAAAGGCCATCAGGGCTGAGACATGCTGGACTTCTTCCTAGAAGGACAGACTGAAGAAACCCGAGATGGTGGCCCTAGATAAGAGAGGGATGGACTGGAACCTTCCGTGAAACCCTTCAGCCTGTATGGGGATGACAAGAGGATTTCAGCTCAGCATCAAGCCCTTTCCAGTAATTAGAGTCCGTCGGCAGCCAGAAGGCTGAGCCGTGGGGAAGGATGTACTTTTAAATGGGAGCCACGATGACAGAGAAGGATGGTGGGGTGGTCCCACAAGTCCACGCTGAAGGCTGGTCATTTAACACATCAAACGAATGCCTCATCAAGAGTAAGTCCCCAGGACCCCAGACTTGCTGAGTGACGCTGAATGAGTCACCTCATCTCCCTGGGCTTCTGTTCCATCAACCAAAAAGGAAGGATAATCATACCTGGAAGCATCAAAGTGAAAGAAGATCTGCAAATTCGCCTTGCAAAAACATAAAGCACGGTGTAGAGGGCGTGACGTGGTTGCACAGCTCCCTCCCCCGTGAGACGTTTTCTAGGACACACAGGTCTGCCCCACCAGTGTCCCTGGGTGTCTCAGGCCACCACCTGTGCAGAAGTGAAATTTTCTGCTGGGGAGAGCTGCACAGAGAGAGCCCTGGATTTGATGAACACAGTGGGCTAGTCCACTGGGCTGTCTGTACGAGGATCATATTTTATTGAAAAGGGGGACACAGCATGGGGCCCGCTGAGCCCCCAGCACTGCTCTGATGCTGGCATTCACAGGGCAGGCTGCTTCCTTCCCGCTCAGGGGGCCCCGTGGGCATCCCAGCCTTCCAGGGCTGGCCAGGGTGAGGGAGCACATCCAGCCAGCTGGGGCAGTGGGAGGAACACAGCTCTCCAAGTCAAGGCTGCTGCTTTCTCCATAGGTGATTTGAGACCAATGTGGGACCCTCTCTGAGCCCGTGTTTCTTCAGCTGTCATCCTGGGGAGATTATCATAATCCTCTTCTCTGAGGATTTGGGGAGGGTTATATGAGATAGTGCCGGTCACTGCCCGAGGGGCAGACAGGGAGGCATGTGCCCACTCCCCCCAAATGCCCAGAAAACAAAAACAGTGTAATTCTGCAACATGGTATAGGAGTCTCAAAAGTATAAGACGTCAGCTACGTCATTTATGTCACGTAAATCAGGGTCGATGATTCATTCAATTATTATACATGTGTAAAAAAAAAATTCACAATGTTTTCATCTATTCAGAAAATAAAAACAGAGTAAAACCATGAGTACTTGCTTCTGGGAGAGGCTGAAGAGGACAGCTAGAGCTCGGGATATGGTGATAAAACTGTGTCCCGGGGGATTTGGAACCAGAGACAGAGAGCTTGCTTCCCTGGTATAAAACCCCACCTCTGAGGGGCGTCTGGGTGGCTCAGTTGGTTAAGTGTCTGACTTAGGCTCAGATCATGATCTCGGGGTCCTGGGATCCAGCCAGGAGCCCCCTGAGGCACTCCCCCCACAATCCCAAGCTCCATGCACAGCAGGGAGTCTGCTTCTGCCCCTCCCCCTGCTCACATGCATTCTCTCCCTCTCTAATAAATAAATAAAACCTTCAAAATAAAAAAAAAAAAACCATCTACAAGCACGTACTTGCATAAGCATGCGTGCACACATGCTCACACACACTTGAACCCAACTAGGTCTAAAATGTTCACTGAGAGGCAGCCTGGTACGGAGAAAAAGCAAAAGCTTTGGTGTCCAAACTACATCCTAGGTTTGGGATTTTCTTATTCTGGGTTTTACGACTTTGGGCAAGCTACTTCCCCCATCTTCATAATAACTAATTTTCCAAGTTGTGGAGGTTAAATTAAATCATATAGGTAAATTGCCCAACTTAATGTGTGATTCACAGTTAAGTATTTGATAAATGGGAGCCCTGCATTAATGCATGTGATTGCATGAAAATGTTATGTATGTTGTTCCCCTCCCCCGCCCCCCCCCACCCCCACCCCCAGGGAAATTCGCCAAGCCAGAAAACCCAGCTCCAGCCAGGAGCCCAAACAGAGTGCTCTGGAAGGCTGTATTCTAGCTCCCTCCCAGTTATGTGTGTGATGAAGATCCAGCAGGAAGCTGATCTCAATGTTTGTTTATTGAAACCATTTGTTTGCAAAATGCCTTTTTGTGTACATCACTAAAGCTCTCCATTTGTAATTCCCCATCTGTGGCTTCTGACAAGCAAACCTTCAGGAAACCTTAAAGAAAAGTGTCACATGATTAAACCTGCAAAAATATACATGGGTCTGGAGGGCCTTGCAGGGAGGAGCAAGATATCCAGGGGCCCAGGAGGAAGGGAGACAGTGCCCATCAGCCCCCCTCGGATGGACAGCGGAGACCCCAGGAAGCACCCTACAGACCTTTAGTGAGAGCAAAAGGAACCACCTGCTGGAATTTAGCAGGGCCCTCCACAGTTCTGGTCAACACCACTGTCACCCATATGGATAGAATGGGTCCTCCTGGGACTCACTGCAGACTGCACCTGTGTCACTCTGGCCCCGGCTGTTGGCACCTTTAGCGTTTCTCCAAGACCCAGACTTCGCGATTGCGAAGCCATAGCTTTGGATCAGAAAGGGTGTCTGAGCCACTGAGCTTGAAGGCTACCTCTCCGACTATCATCTATTATCCCGTGTTACCACTACACAGAAATTGGGCTCAGTCAAACCACACAGAGCAGTAAGATGCTGGAGCTGCCAGTTGGGCTGTTTATACTGGAAGAAGGATATTTGAAAACCCATCTCAAAATCTAACCCAGCATGATCCTTTTATATGCAATTATCCCCCAGTTTGGCATGAAATTCAAATAAATGTTTAGAAATGCTCAAACCTCCGGATGAAAGCTATAATTAATGTATCAATGATTTTTTTTTCTAAAGGGCACGCAATCAAAAAGAGAAGCCA